ATCTGTAGGGTGCAGGCAATAGGACTTCCTTCCCTTGCGGAGGTTATGAGGATGAAAACCTCGTGTGAGGCTGAAACTTTGACGTGCTGCTGCATGGTGTGAAAGGCCACTGTGGGTATTTTCCTGCTCTTGGTTTGAAGCTGCTCATCGTACTCATCTCTGCTGAGAATCAGTAGTTAAATACAAATTTTCATGTTCTATTCCTTCATTAATGCTTTTTGGTTTATATCAACATAGAAAGCCATTAGGGTGGTTCTTTTAAATGAATTTTGCTTTATAGAGTGAGGAAAAGAAAACAGATCTAAGGAAAGGAAGCTGGATTCTTTACGTAGGAACATGTAATTTTCCTGGGGCCTGGAATAGCTGGATTTTCTTACCACATGTGCAGGAAATAGCCCTTCCTACCCAGTCCTGGGTGTATCAGATAATACCCTTGGCATATAAAGGAACTATTCCAGTGTGAGACACCTTCTAAACAACATTTGTGTTCAAGTTTCCAAGCACATTAACAGATTTATACAGGTCTGTTGAGGCAGAGCTCAAAACACTTTGATTCATTAGAAAAAGCAGACAGAAATACCTGTGAAGCATACACAGCTAATTTTCTAGCCTTTTCTAGCCAGGAGGCTCCAAGTTCATTTGTTAGGGAAGTTTGGGGATGGGTCCTTCATCATCGTGCCTTCCTCCTGTGAGCAGTTTCTCATGCACTCAGTGCTGCTGCTGCAGAAACAGGAGCAGGGCTCTCCGGGCTGCCAGGGTTTGCATCTGCCCTGTGCTGCCTCTGTCCTTTGGGAGCTCTGACAAACCATCCCTCAGCACACCTGGCCAGTAACACATCCCCAGGCTGGTAGCATTAGTCCTTCTTCCCTCCGTGCAAGTATTCTTGTTTGGGTTTTGTGGGGGTGGTTTTAGTTTTCCATGTGAATTTTCTCTGCTTTTTAACAAACAGGAGTTAGAGCTTGTTTGATGCTTGTTACTGACACAAATCTAGGAAATTTCACTCTTTGGATCACGTGTCTTTGCTGGGGCTCTCTCTCTTTTTAGCCTCTCCCTGAGGCTAAAAGGGTTTTGCTGATGTAAAATTTTTAATAATACACCAAATGTGGGCACAGGATGATCTCTTGCTCCTGGTATCATTCAACATTAATCTATTAATTTCCTAAGACACTTTGCTAAATGCAATTTCATAGACAGACAGACCAGCTAGCCAGCACTAGCCTCTTCAAAATCTTCAGCTCATGAATCAAAAAAAATTCCCTTCTTTGAAGGCAGAAGAAATTAATCTTAGAATCTCTAGGATAGCTTTAATTTTAGTAAGGCATGAAATTATGGTCCCATATTTATTCCTATAATGGAGTCACGTCTCAGTGTCATTTTACTTCATTAAGGGATAATGTCAGCTCTGGTGATGTTGTAATTAGAAATCCTGGAAACATTTTTTGAGTTCTGAAAAGCAACAGTCACAACCCTAAGAAGTTTTAAACCTCTCATGGAGCACATATAATCTTGTAAGGTGTATTTGAATTTTGAGAAGATTTGACAGATAATCAAATAAGGTGGACATTATGAGGGGTGGAATAAAGCATTAGTAAAAAGAGTTGCATATTTTTTTTTCCTTCTGGTAGCCAGTCTTTTAGTCAGCTCTTAAAAGATTTAGTCTTTCATAAGGATATGTTTTTATTATTACCCTTAGGAATACCACTAAAAGCCTTCATTTTATCAATGTGAAGTCATCAGAGTTTATTCCACAGATATTTTATATTTTCATTTCTGACGCTTGGGTTTGTGTGCTTAAAAGAATATAAAAAGAAGCTTTTGATTCTGCTTTGGTTTGCAGAAGTCAGGACTCAGAAATACATGAGAGGTATCAAAGCCATGGAGCTGCTTCTGTTGAAATAAATGCCAACATCTCACAGACTTCAGAGAGAAAAGGATCAGGTAATTAAGTGTTGTTTTGCATGGATTCCAATAGGCTTTGAATCAGGCCTCATTTCCCCAGCCAGTGCTTGCAGCGTTGCAGCTTTGGATTGTGCTGACAAACGACTCTCTGTAAAACTAACCCACCAGCTCAGCAAAGCTGATAAGATTTCCTTCCTGCTCTGCTGTGCTAACACCTTCCCTGAAAATGTGCTCTGACTTTGGCCATACTTGACTTCAGATTAAGGCTTTGCAGAGAAAAATGAAAATTCGATGTGATAAACTGATAAAGGAATTTAAGTTGAAGTACACTCTTCCAAGCCAAGTGATTCCAGGCTATGTGCAGCTGGGAAATAGATTCTGCCTTGCTGGGGTGCTAAAACACCTGCATGAGCCAGTGACTGCCAGCTGCTTGAGGGATTGTCACATTGCAAAACAGGCAGAGAGGGTTCAGATTGTATCAGGAGAAAAACAGTGCTCTGTGAGAGACATGTTGGGGAAATTTTGTGAGAAAAGGAAAAAAAAACCCAAACCCAACCAACAGAAACAACTCACTCACCTGCATGGAAACAGTTCCTAGAATGTGACTGTCAGTGAGTAAGGGGAACATTCTGTAAATATATTCTTAATACAAATTAACTTTTCTGTATGTGTTGTCAGCAAGAATCTAGATTATTTCTTGTCTGTGGGAAACCTTCTGTCAGAGACAAAGATCATTTCCCACATGCTTTGATCTTAGCATATTAAATCTTAGCAGAGACTTTATTTAATTAAATGTTATTTATGTTTTGTGGGTGTTACTGAACAAAGACTTCCCTGAGTGTCATTAATGGAAGAATGACAGAGGGTTTGAACCAGGGAGGGCCATCACGATAAATCTGAATGCAGAGATATTTTAGGGAAATCACCGTTTCTCAGGCAGCTGAACACTCAAACATACTTGCCTAACTCAAGGATGAAGCCACAACACTTCTCAGTGCCATCCTTCCAGTCTCACAGATTTTTCATTTTGAAGTTAAACACTTGTAGTCGGTCTGTGCTGCTGAAGTTGTTTCTTTAATTTCTGTGACTCCACACACGTGAGCAAAGCTGCGTTACAAGGTCACTGCTGCATCTCGGGGAAGGAGGTACTTTCTTTGGCAATGCCAGGGTTTACTTTGGGAGATTCTGATGTCTGTGCTGCATGACACTGTGTTAGAGGAGAGGTGACCTCACTTCTCATGCTCAGCCAGGAAGGAATGGCCAGGAAGAAGATACGTTCTTTTTTTAAAATCATCTAATACAAATGTTTCTGACTTGCTCTATGGAGATAATAGAAAACAACCAGCAACTGCTGGGCATGAGTTTTGTCTGTTATACATTATTGTCTGTCTTGACAGCATAAAATTAATAAATTACATGTATTCAAACCCCCTATGTTTAAAAAATAAGGTTGCTAAGATACAAGAGCTATGCACGTTTAATGCCATTAATGGTCAGAGGATCCTGTCAATAGGAGGGGAATAACTGAGGACCTATAGGTTCCACATAGGTTTTGCTCATTATAGTTGAACATACTTCAGCAAGAAGAGTTGATAATGATAAAAATTTGGTTTACCTACGGGTTTGCATTTCGGCATGATTTAAATATGTTACAAATAATTGTGTATGTAAACTTTGTTCAAAAGCGATCAGTTGTCATGGTCCAGGAGGTAAGAGGGTATGCTCAGTGAAATGTGCATATTTTTCACTACTGTTCTTATTGTTGAGAGAGAAAATTCATCCAGCCTCCTGCATTTCACTGGAGTGAATGCTATGCTCATTTAGACCAGTAGTCAACTTTTCTTCTGAATTGCTCACTGATGAAAAAGAGAAAAAATGAAAGAAAAAAAAAAAAACAAAAAAAAAAAAGAAAAAAGAAAAACAAATGGCAGCACAGCAACACAACTGATAAACCTGAAGGTATTCCTGGCACTGCCAGGCTCCCACAGTACAGGCACAGAAGAGACTTTTCCCCAAACCTGCTGTTATAAAAATGAGAGCTATAGGTCTCACTACCTTAAATTTAGGATAATTTTCCTAAGTTTAATTAATTTTCCTATAATTCTTCCTAGTCAAAAGGAAGAATTCTACCTAGCACTTCTTGCTGGGTAAAAATACAGCCATGTTCTCTACCTGCTACTCAGGAATATGCTCCTCAAAGTTTAATTGCTTTTTAACTACTCACTGCAACCCCAGGCTTTTTTCTTTTTTAATTTTCTATCCAGCTACAGCAGCACTGAAGATTTCTCTTTCTTATCTGATCACAGGGGAAAAAAAAAAAAAAAAGAAGAAAAGAGAGCAGCTTATTCCTGTTTCCACCCTTTCATCCCTGGTTTCTTAAATGAGGCCTAAAGCCATTTACCTATTTAACCTTGTGGGGTAATTAAGTTGTTCAAGCTTAGTCAACTTGAGTTTCCCAGTTAAACTGGCCCCCTGCCAGCATTGTAAGCTTTCCATAAGCCAGTGGGGAAGGTTCACACAACACCTCTGCTCCCAGGGAAGCTCGGTGCTGCCCTGGTGATGTGCACAGACATCGGCGCTGCCAGAACCCCTCTGCCACCTTCAGAGGGGCTCAGGAGGGGACAGTGCCCTTCAGCACCACTAGCCAGAGGGAAAGCCAGTGCCACAACCCCTGGCACAGCCAAACGAGGGCTCCAGCACGCGTTGGGACTGTGTGTGCAGTAAGGCCGTGGCCGTTCTCCTCCCTGCTGTGGTTTTGGGGATGCCGAGGATGCTGCGGCTGCTGCCTCCCCCAGGGATGCAGGACCACATCTCCTGCCACCACTTGGCCATTAGCTCAGGGCTTGGCAAAGTGGTGCCAGCCCACAAGCTGTCACCAGCTCCCAGGGTGCGGCATTCACGTTCTCTGAAAAATCCCTTGGCTCAGGATTTTTCTCCTGGGAAGCTGAGAAGCCTCAGAGAAATGGAAAACATTTGTTATCTCATTTGTTTCTCCTGTGTTGTCCTCATGTGGAATGTGTTTGGAGATTGTTTACCCACAGGTGATTGTTCCATTGGATTCTGCTGTGAGCTGTTTTGACTCTTTGGCCAGTCAGTGCCAAGCTGTGTCAGACTCTGGAGAGAGTCTCGAGTTTTCATTATTCAGTATTTCAAGCATTCAGTAAGTATCCTTCCTGCATTCTTTAGTATAGTATCAGTAAGTATCCTTCCTGCATTCTTTATATACTAAAGAATATATTCTATATAATAGAATATACTATATTATATTCTTTAATATAATATAGTATCATAAAGTAATAAATTAGCCTTCTGAGGACATGGAGTCAGATGCACCATTGCTCCCAGCCACGGGGTCGCTTGTGAACACAAGAGCAGGGTGGCAGCAGGCCTTGTTGAACAGCCTCCTTTCCCTTCCCCGGCTATCCTCAGCGCACGCGCTCGCGCCGGATCGTGCCACGAGCAATATTGCTCCTGACAACCTGCAAAATATTTGTATGAACCTCACCGTTTGGTGTTTAAACATGTCATGGTGGCAGCTTCAAACAAACAAGCTGAGCTTATGGGGAGACCTTTTCAGACTTGCGCCATCTGACAGTAGCTTTCCTGTGTCAGTGCCAGCATTAAAAAAAAAAGAGTATTCTCTAATTTTAAAAAAAAAAAAAAAAGAAAGTGTCATGCATCTGCAAATTTGTCAGCAGGGCAGATGGCATCCCTTCCTGCTCCAGAGTTTGAAATAACAGCTCCCAGCTAGTGGAGGAAGAGCCTGAACACACCGAGAGCAAAACCACTCAGAAGTGCCTGGAATGGCACCAGCAGCGCTTGGGGAGAGAACAAAGCCTGGGCACAAGCGCGCTTCCTCAGCAGCTGAAGTGAAGACTGACAATGCCACATTCCCAGGGCAAATCCTGTTCAGCAGAAACTCCGGCCATCAGCTTGCTGCAGGATAGTTCCTCCTCGCTCACAGAGCTGGCATTTCTTTAAGCGCCCTTTTTCTGGCAGTATTTGCAATTCACACAGGGGACAGACCTGTGAAAATCAGCACAGCTCCAAAGCCTTCTTTTGCCGTTCAGCCTTCCTGATTTACAAGCGCTTCTTTCTGCGTGTGAGTGCTTCTTTTAGCTCCCTATATTGCATCCTTGCAATTCCTTAAATGAGCAGCAATTATCCTGCTCTTTCAAGATATGCATCTGCCATCACCCATTCACCAACACACTGCTTAGCAATGTATAAGATAAAGACTAAAAGGCATTTTCAGAATTAAAAAAAAAAATCAGTTTGAAATATCTCCACTGAATTCCAATGGTTTATTTACTTCATGGTGATCAAGAGATCACTGGCCTTTTACTTTCACTCACAGAGACAAGTATTTGTTATCAGATGGTAAACAAAAGTTTAGTTGTACATGGATAATTCATATTGAACTTCAATACAAAATGAATGCTATCCAAGGCTGCTTCAGAGAATGGTTTATTGTGAAACTTCACAGATGAAACTTCCTTATTAAAAAAAAAAAAAAAAGTTCTGCATTTCGAGCAGCTCCCATTTTAATGAATTGAGTTAAAGGGCTGGTTTCCTTCGTGCCACTTCTCTTGTCATTTACTCCAGGCAGTGACAGAGCAGGACATTTTTCCTAGTGGACAGTGTTTGGATTTTTGCTGGGTGCTCATGGGGAGACGATTAATATTTTTTGTATTTTTTATTTCACAACATATCCAGACTTTGAAAACTTGCCAGGTTTTGCCTTCAGTTTTGCTTAAAACATTAGTCTACAAAGCACCAATAAGCATCTCAAACTAAACTAATATCTGCATGTCATTACTTATAAATGTGTAGCTGCTTGCCTGGAGGCAGAAGAGCCATGATACTGCTACCATTGACTGTTATTTATAGGTAACCTTTTCTGGTTTAGCATTTCTGCTGTATTTTTTTTCCCAGATTTTGATTTTGCCTGCCCCTGATACTGCATGCAGCTCCACTTTCACCCTCACAGCTCTGGCCAAAGGGGGTCAGCTGAGAACCAGCCTTGGAGCATCCCCCAGGGCCTGGCTGGGCTCGGTTACCAGCACTTCCGAGCACAAATATGCAAAGTTTAATGAAGTCAGTGGAAAGACTCCTACTGGCTTTGGGTTAGCTTCAGATCCAGATGTAAATTATGGGAATGTGATTTTATTTCCATTACTCGTCCGCAATATTTTTTCCCTGTGTTAACAACATAGCTCCTTTTTAAACAATGACAGAATTGGTCTTTCCAGTCAAGTGATCCATTTGTCAGTAAATTACACTGCAGTATGACCAGATAGGCATCCTAAGATTGCTGCTGGATGGAAAAAGGTGAAAAGCCTCTTTCTGGGTTTGTGGGCAGTCATTGGCTTCAGGGGAATCATCCAGTATCCTGTCACTCTTTGTATTCAGCATTTTGAAGTTGGGGAATTGTTGTCCTGCCTTTCCAGAAGAACAATGGTATCTTCTTTCTGGAAGATAAATCGGAGCTCTAGGAAATGATAGGAAAACTGGTCTCTTGTGAGTCCCCAGCTGGCCAGTGGCAGAAGGAATATCAACATAGGAATCTGTAGCTCATGTCCCATTTCTGCTCTCTCTGTTCATGTGACATTTCCAGACTGTGTCACAGAAGAAAGCCCTTAGGAAGTGCACAGGAATCAGGATTTTGTCAGTTTAACAAGTTTAAAGAAATACATGTTCTCTGGAATCAAAAGCACAGGCCCTGAAAACAAAAGGACTCCTATCCAGGCAGTTTATTTTGAAGCTATAAAGTGATTGCTTTCCCTACACATTCATTTAAATAAAATAAAGATGTAAAGAAATAGTGGGAAGTAATTAAAGGGATCTAAATTAAAAACAAAAAAAAAAAGGAAAAATTTTCATTAAGAATGCTGGTGGTGTACAGCAGACGATGTCTGTGCAGTCATGTAGCAACAGACTTCGCTCTCTGAGTAATAATTTTCCCTCAGAACATGTTCTATTTATAACCCCCCTAAGCCTTTTGCAGTATGTTTCCTGTTCAGACACCAGAAAATGACTCAGCCAATCAGTCCAGTCACTTCCCAAACATGGGATTCAAAACTAGGGAGAAAATCATGAACATGCTCAAAACTTCAATGATGAGTCAAAAGACTCTTTAAACTGATTTTTTTTTTTTTTTTTTTTTTTTTTTTTTTTTTTTTTTTTAATTCTAAAGGTACATGTTAGAAATTGTTCTCTTTGTCATTTGGGAGCACTTAGGTTCTTGTTCTCCAAGAATGATAATATTTTGTTCATTCATTCACTGTGAAATGCTTTCTATCTCTGTAATTACTCTACCACTGTATTATATTTCAAAAGCAATGGCCAAAAACTGTAACATGGACAAGTCTCCAGCTGCTCTTCTTTGGTCTGGGGTGGGCAGTATTATGAAGAAGGACTTTATACTCTTAGCTTGCATAAGAAACTATATTAGAGTTACAGACAACTGGTTAAAATTGTAATTTTCAGCTTATTTACTGACTCACTGCTACATTTTCAGCTCTAGAATATGAGAACTGTTGCTACATTTTCTATGCACAAAAGTGAACTCTATTTAAATAATCATCCATAAACCTCCTCCAGCACATTAATCTGGAAAAAAATTGGAGATGGAACTGGGATACAGAGCAGAAGCATGCTCAGTTCTCCTTTCAAGAGCAGAAGCATTATCAAATACTTAAGGATGGAGTTCCACCCTAAACCAAGACCTGATGCATAACTGCAATCTGCACGATTCATTACAGCTACAACCACAGAAATTCTTCCACACTCCACAGCTTAAAAAGAGAAGTGTTTCCTTTTGTCCAGATGTAAAAGCACCACATTTCTGGCATTTCAGCCATTTAGCTTAAAGAGAGCATCACCTGCAAGTCTTGTCCTAATCTGTTTGCACTAAAAAAACCCAGAATATTCCTGACCCTTTGGAACCTGAATAATGCCTTAGAGTTTATGAGACCATGGTCTATTAAGCAGAAGAACACACATGATCCAAAGCTATAAAATTACCTTCATTTGATATCTACTTCAATTTATTTAGGGTTTGTTTTTGTTGGTTTTCTTTTCCCCCAGAGAGACTAAACAGCCTTTCTCTAATGCCACTGTCTTTTTTTTTTTTTTTCCAAGCAGATCCTTAAAACAGGTTGGAAGCGGCAGAGGAACGTGCTAAAGTGCTACAGATGAGAGAGGGGTTTTGAAATGAAACCTTTTCCACATTAACTGAGCTAAATTCATATTTAGAGTCTTGCCAGGCCATTTATGGGCATGTGCCTGGCATGGCCATGGGTGCCCCCATCCTGCACTGCCCTGATTTCGTGCCGGAAAAATCGGGATGCAGTGTGGGTGTCGCTGCCTGCCAATGTCGCTGTGATAAACGAGGGCACGTTATCGCTGCTGCTCCTTCATCCGCAGGAGCTGCTCCCGCTGCCACAGCCAGCACCAAGCATGGCTCCAGAGCACAGCGATAACCACCACAGAAACATCGGGGGGAAAGCAAAATACCGCCGAGCTTTCAGCTACAAGTGCGGTTTCTGATGTGTTTACACCTCTCTCTGCTCCAAGCTTTGTCCGAGCACCAACCTTTCTATGTCACTGCAGGCTCACTGGGGCTTCAGGGTGCAAAACTGACAGGTGTGAGCACTGAACTTCTCTTACAACAGAGAAAGTGTGTGTCTCACTATCTTCAGAATGCTGTGGCTTCTCCCATCTCTTCTTGGAATTTCAACTTCCAGTTTTCTGCCTCAGATACCCAGTGATATTTTTGTGGTAGTGATGAAACTGCTCATTAACTCTAGATGTGCTTTGCTAAGTCTTTTTTCTTTATCAGGAAAAATTACATTTCTTAGGTAATATATACTCACCATCCCTCTTTTTTCCGAGCCCAAGTTCTTTCAACTGAGCCTATGTGGGACAAGGTCACCTTGACTTCTTCTGAAAAATAACATTTTTATAGCTTGACATTATGCACTTATTTACTGGGAGTGGACAGAGAGATGGGTCTGCAACATCATCACAAGTTTTGCTGCTGACCCAGGGCAAGCACATGTGACCCTCGCCCTATAGCTGCAAGAAGTTTTTATTTAAAATTTTGTTTTAAAATAGATTTGGACAGCTGCCTGAGTCTGAATGCCTGTGCTTCATTCTGCAACAGAGAGGAAAGAGGCAAAGAAGGTGGAAAGAGGGAAAGGGAGGAAACTGGATTAAAGGAAAACTCCCCAAGTAAACATAGGTGAAATAATTAAAGAGAGACCTTGCAAAACTCCATCTACTTAAAAATTCTTAGGAAATAATGATTTGGAAATACAAGTAAAGTCAGCCAAAGTGTTATTAAACCGTTCAACAGTGTACCTTTTATTTAACAAAAAGTCATTATACAACTGCATTTTTCAGATTAGATGGAGCAAAATAAGTTGTGTGCAGAACAAAAAGTAACACTGGGCATCAGCGTTACTTTCCAAGGCCCCTGTTTCTCTTGTGTTCTTAAAAAGTCCTTCACTCTCTTTTGTGCAGGGTAACTTGTCTGGTTGCTCCTTTGCACTTTCCCCGTGCCCTGATATGATGAGTTTGGGTCGATGCAAAGAGCAAACCTGCCTGAGTTCAGCTCGGTCACATCCCCTGCACAGGGAATTCTGTGCACCTTTCCTGGGAGATTACAGAAGGAACTTCATTGGGACCAGGCAAACAACAAACTGCTGCTGATATAAATGTTTCCTGTCAGACAGAACAATTAAACCCCTCACCAAGGAGCAAGATATCAGCTGGCCTTTGGTTAAGACATGCTTAAGAAGCAAGGATCTGTAAATTACGCCAGAAATAGTTCCAAAAGAAGCACAAACACCACAGGAGAAGAGGCCTTTACTGAGGTAGCGACAAGTCAGATTAAAGCCTGGTGCCTGACTTGCCCTGAAGGACCCTCATTGTCCCCTAACCTGCAGGGATGCAGCCTGAGCACGTTTTTGCACACAGGAAAAGTTCACTAAGACTAATTAACACCCATTTAGCCTCATCCCACTTCCACAGACTTCACTGCTGCAGGACCAGCTCTGCATCTGGGTGATGGGAAAATGACATATTTTCTTACACCAAATTGTAACCATATTCTTCAGTGCCCTTTGGGGAGCTGGTCACACATGACAAAAAGGTTTTTGTTGCAGATAGGACAGGTTAATGATTTCTGAGCTCAGTTATGTCCTGTTGGCTGGGGCTGCTGCTGCCCCAGGCGCAGCACCTTATCCAACAGTAATGCAATTGTCATGCAAAGTAAATGGAGCATCTTAAGCCATGCTCTTTACTGAAACTGGACATGAAAACACTCAAAGTAGCGGATTATTTTAAAACAATTCACAACTTTGCCAGTCCTGATAAAGTTCTGTGTGAATTGTTTTATGTGTGTGTGAAATAGCAAATAACAGGAGTGGAGCCATGTCTTCTACCAGTTCCATACAGGTTGAATATACCCCTGATAGCAGAGATTAGTGATAATCAGAAGGAAAATAGGACTCAAAGGAAGATACATGCATAAATGGGTACCTGAGAAACTTTATCTTAATTTAATTTGATTTCCTATCTAACGCCAGTTGTTAATTTTTAACTATGTACTTTCTGTATATAGTGTTCTAGTACCCTTTTTAGAAGTATTTTAGCCTTCATTAAAAAGGCTGAAATATTAAAGAAGCTTCTGAATACTAGAGAAAATTGCACCAAGAGCTAGCTAGCCTCAGAATAAAAAAAAACTCCGGCTGCTGCAGGTTATTTGTAGCTTTAACATATCTAGTTCCTGCTTCCAAATTTAGGCTGTTTCTTCTGCTTGATTATGGAGCTGACAGTCACCTTTCTTTTAATATCACTTAACCAGGTATTTAACATTGCATTTCTCTCTCTCTCTCTCTCTTTTTTTTTTTTTTTTTTTTTTTTTTTTAATCAGAATGTTCTTAGGACAATTTAATCATATATTCAATAAACATAGATATATTTATAAGCCACACTTACAAGTACATGACACATGTCCATTGTCAAGCTCTATCACCCATAAAACTTTTTCAACTGATGCTGTTTATGTTACCATCAAGTGTTTATTTTCCTTTTGCAAACTGTCTCAAATTTGGTCTGATTTTGCCTCTGGCAGTCTTAAAGTAACTATTCTGAAGTTCCTTTTCCCAGTTTAAGTACTGGTATATCATGTGGTTTTAGTCCATTTTATCCTACAATTCGGTAAAAATGCAACTTGGTCAAAAACTTCTTTAATCATTCCAGCTATACCCCTAAAATATTGGACTACAATCAAAGCTGAAAATATGTTTTTGTGTATAAAATGAATTACAACAGGGACATGTCATCACACAGTGCGAAGAATCAATAATAAAGTGACTTGAAAATTAAAAAATACTATAGATTTCTGCTCTCGCTGTGTTGACTGCAGTAAAACCTTCTAACAGCAGTGTCTGAGCAGGAAGTCTGGCAGGGCTACAGTAATCCAGCCTGAGGTAAATAAAGGTGTGGGCAAGTTTCAAAACATCTCGGGTGGTGACAGGGTCAAAGCCTGGGACTCTCTTACAAACAGTTAAAAGAAAATGTTCAAGTGCTTGAAATACTGTTCCTCAGTGGGAAGATTAAAAAATAGCACAACAGCTTGAGTCCAACAGGGTACAGTAGCTGAAAAGTCATTCCATATAAAGAAAAAAAAATAAAATCAGTAAACTCAGTAAGTGGCTATATTTAGAAGGCCGCAGTGCCAGTTGGGTTTCTGGCAATGAATTTTTGCCAACCCTATTCCTTCTGAAGAGATCTAATATCAAAGAGGCAGCTTTTGGTCACCAGAAGCAAACACAAGGGTGATCAAGGCTTTGCAGAAGC